GACACGAAACAGGTTCAGCCAAGCGTGGCTTATCTGTTTTCTATAGAATCCATAACTCGTTCAACCACAGACCTGGATCCTATGGGGGAGGGGAGCTGAATCACACTTTGGATAAAGGACACTATATTTGACATTATATATTTCACATCAGACATGTCCTTATTTAATACAGCTTAAATGCCTGATACCTAGCATTGCAAACACATGTAATAGAGACATTCACCAACACCCACACACATTTAAAAGACATTAAAAAGAAACCTCCCCCCTTTATTTGACTTCGCAAACAAATACAGCCCAAAACTTCACACCTCAGATAATGTAACATGTTAAGAAAAGTTGACAATTAACACGGCCAGTCTACGCAGTGTTTTTATACAGCACACATCTTCCATATTTCTCCCCGCACGTGTTTCTAAAAATAACCTTGTTTACTAGATTTATAACACCCCCCCCCCCATCATTAACATTCAGCCAGGGACCATTTTAAAATTAATGGCTTTTGTTTTCAGCGAAGATGTGTTTTTACTTTCGTCCACGCCCATAGCTTGCGGCTATAACATACCAACGTTAAGGTGGGATGTAAGATTACGACAGGCAAAGATGTGTGTGGGAAGGGGGACGGACGAAATTTTTAAATGGTCATTATTTGAGGATGGGTATTTGTAGATTCATTACCAATACAACCACATATATAATTAATGTTTATTTTCTAAGTATGTGGGGTTGGGATTTTAAAAAAAAATTATAACGTTATAAATATGTATATGGGATCGATGCAAACATGAGTCATTTTCTGACGACGAGACATTTTAATGGACGGGATGGTTAGGCTATTCGATAAACTGATGACATATACCACATACTCGTGTTGCAGTGTTAATATGGTACACCAAGAACCATATGAGTATTATTACTTTTATGTTCATATGAAGAATAAATTGTGTTGTTTAATCCCAGATATTTGTTTTATAAAAGACAATAAACCGAGGTAGAAATAGTATTAAATGTACCAGCATCAAAAGACTGCAAATTAAATTGTATAGCTAAACAGCGATCGAGTTAAACATACCCAAACGCTAACACTGGGTTAAATTCAAGTTCCCTATTCAAGTTCCCTATTTTAATTACTTTCTTCTGCTTAAAATATGTTGGTATTGCCCAGCTTAACGCTATGAGTGGGATTTTTCTTTTTTTTTACATCAACCCTTCTTCGGAAGTCAAACCTATAGAAAATATAATAATAACCGCAAACAATTTCCACTTTTGGTACAAAGCTTGCCCCCTATCATTGCAATCAATGATGGAGGAGCAGACGAGGACATTCAAGGCCTTCAATTCAGTATGCTCGATATGAAATAGCACAGCCTTGTCAATCCTAAGCAAGATGCAATTCTTTAACAAAAACCTGGAGAGTTACCAAGTCAAATACACACAGGCTACAGTCGTACACAAACAGATGTTTACGACATATCCTTTAGATAAGATGGCCAGATAAAATGTCAAAACAAAGACCTATGGCAAAACACAAAACAACAGCCAATAGGGATATTAAATGAGGCTGCATCGGACATACCCTAAGAGATTAACATCTCAAGGCAAGCGTTAAGTAGGATTCCCCAGGGGAAGAGTAAAGTAGGCCAGCCAAGGCAACTCTGTAGAAGGAAAGTAGAAGAAGAGGTATAGGCTGCCGGGCTTGCGTGGACGCAAATAAAAGAGAGCTGCCCAAAACTGAGTCCGGTGGAGAGATGTGTCTGCAGCCCTTTGCTTCTCAGGGTCTTCAAAGGAATAAGTCATGTCAAGTCATTCCTTGCAATAACTGTTAAAAAAAACAGTAGTTGACTTGATATTCCACCCTTTCATCTTTGATAGCGGGTGACAGGTGTTGACGACAATGGACGCGCTGTTATTTTTTTTTTGACTGACAGTTTGATCAATATCCACCCTACACTGGCTGTCGTTGGCCTTGTGTTGATGCCTGGCGGGTAGAATTGTTCACGTGACTTGCTGTTCACGTGACCTTTCCCTTGTCAACACCAAGTGTACAGACACTAGAAAACAACTTTACGAATATTTACAAAAAAAAAGTCTCATCTTATTTCCCTGCAGAATTAACATGAATTAAAAAGACATTTATTTGAATGTGATGGGGGGGGGGGTGACTTGACGCAACCCTCCCATCCCTTTCTTAATACGCCTCCTCTCCCTCGCTTTCACTGTTTAATCTGTCACCCACAAAACCTCCTACAAACAACCCAACCAAGCAGAACCCCAATCGTGTAAGGACCTTACAGCGCTATACAGGGGCGGGAAATGAATAAGCGGACCTGAATTTTTGCTTGAAGCTACGGATTTAAAAAAAAAATGTTAAAGAAAATACCCCCCCCTCACCTTTCTGCGTCTTGCATGGATGGGTGAATGTGATGAGACAGCTGTACGACATTTGAATGTCGTGATCTGTCTGAATAGCTCATAATATTAATACTTTTATGCAAGAAAAAAAAGGCGTAGTTTTGACGTATGTTGCGCAAGATGTATCAACCCAACACTGCCTACACGAAAATTAAATTGCAACACCAGCATTTCGCAGTGAGGAGGATGAGGGTGGGGGATGAGGGTGGGGATGACGGGGCCCATTCATTCTGACAGGAATGTTCCGTGACATTTTGCCTGGGAAACCAGGTCATTACGTTATGTGAGGCGACAGGTCCAGCTCCGGTGAATATCGACAGCCTACAAAACCTAGCTGTAACACGATCTGACGCTGTCTTGGAGACCTGACAAGCCAGGTTTGAATTAGATATGAGACTCGCTTAACCAGGTTTAGATCGTAAAGAGAATGTATTTTTTAAATCGGCCGCTGCATGAACCGAACACCGGAGTGCTGATATACCTAGATTTAGAACACTAAGGCGGAGAATTTGGCGTCACAAAGGGGTGCAGGAGGTGCGGAGCGTATACGTTGAGAGGGGGTGTGACCAAAGCAAAAAAATACAAAATATAAAAACGAAAAATTATTTTAAAAAATTAAAGTTAAAATGTATTCATAGTACAAATTGATGATCCCAACAAGAAGTGGGTATGGGTTGGGTAGATTCAAAGACGTTTTACTGACACAAACCCGGGTTTTGAACTCGAAACTTTCGGTGTAGCAGCCCTATGGTCTATCATCTGACCACATTATAATGTTAGTACACTTTATTAACAAAAATTGTACTTGTTAGTTAAAATAAACATACAGACTATTGTATTCTATTTATGGACTAAATCAACAGTAAAATAACACAGACAAAAGACTACTTTTGGTGTGTAGATGACAATACAATGGCATGACACATACATGCAGCTGACACCGGTTGCACTTATTAACCCCAGCCATTATTCTCTACATAACCATTGTTTAACCGACTGTTGATAAGGTATCGATTGTCTGCTGGCCGACCGTCATTAGGACACACAGTCTGTTTTGAGGACACACTTGTGGGGATACTGTTTGCCAGACACACATTCATGCGGACACAACGTACAGAACACACAATCTACGGGACACACTCATGCAGGACACACACTCAAGCAGACACAACATACAGGACACAATCTACAGGACATACAACCTACAGGTCACACAACCTACAAGACACACAACCTACAGGACACACAACCTACAGGACACACAATCTACAGGACATACAACCTACAGGGCACACAACCTACAAGACACACAACCTACAGGACACACAACCTACAGGACACACAACCTACAGGACACACAACCTACAGGACACACAACCTACAGGACACACAACCTACAGGACACACAACCTACAGGACACAACCTACAGGACACACAACCTACAGGACACACAACCTACAGGACACACAACCTACAGGACACAACCTACAGGACACACAACCTACAGGACACAACCTACAGGACACACAACCTACAGGACACACAACCTACAGGACACACAACCTACAGGACACACAACCTACAGGACACATACCCAACCCTCGTCATCGCCCGCTCGTCCTACGTGCCACAACGTGTTGACACAACTCCCCGCGTGAGCACAAGAGGCGGGAGGACAGGAGGAGGGGGTGGGAGGTGGATAGAAGAGGAGGGTCGGGAGTGGGAGGAGAGCCAGACAAACCTGTCCAGCCGGCGAGTTTTTCTATTGCCAGCAGACCTTGAGAAATCGAACTCCCCCCCCCTTCACCATCAGCGATGCTAAAAATGGTGCTGACTATCGACACAATAGTATGGCGATAAGGGAGGCGATGGGAAATAGTGTGTGTGTGTCGGGGGGTGTTCTACTCACGTTTACACGTGTGCTGCCAGTGTTCGGCCTCTAATTAACGGTCGGTTCCTGGGACTACATTTGCAATCAATACTCCGATAAGATCAATAGATCGATATTTACTCACGAAATAATTCATCTCAGTCATGTTATGCCAACGTAAACACGTAAAATGCGTTGTGTTTGTGAACAATTTTTATCAAGAATTTTTTCATATGTGAACCAAGCGAATTTTAGCAGTTTAGTGATTTTTTTTATGTATTCATCAATCTTCACCTGTAGGTCTATATACTTTACCTTATTAAGGAAACATCGATTGTCTTTGTTTTATTACTGCATAAGTGCATTCATATAACACTACATTAAAGCTATATAACTCATTTACATAAAATTGTGAGCTGCCTTTGAAAGCTAATAATAAACTATCAGATAAGACATGAAGACATATTTTTATATAGTCTTCGTATAGATCTAGACCTAGAAGTTATTTAGTCTAAGTTTATAAAACCATAATAACTAAACCGAAAGCGCTTTGTATTCTTTAAACAAGTTAATTAAAAACAACTCTGGTTTATCTGCATAAAGTAATATAAAATAAATAATACATTTTGAAGTTGTATGTCACATTTATAATATTACGAGTCAGCAAAAATATGATATTTAGAAACGTTACATGGATGTATAGAAATTGCTACTAACCTGTTCTGCTTGACCTAAAAATATCGTCCGTCTGTTAGCGGAGTTTAAGGGGAAGTAACCGCGGGTTCTTTTTCACGTCTGGGTTTCAAAACGTGTCGTAGGCTGCGCGGGCTGACGCGACACGGGCTTCACTTCCGTATACGGTATAGGCCGGACTGACGGCTAGACTAGAGGGGCGGAGAGAGGGTGGTTTTTTGTTTTAAGGGGGTTGGGGTTTAGTTAAACGTAGAGGCCCTTTGTTTAGGAGCTTAGGAGAACAACTAGTGTGATGATTAATCATGGAGAGTGTATGCATTCGCTTAACGAACTATATTAGAATGTACGTTGTTGAGATCAGGTACACATAAGAACATACACACCTTGGGATGGTGGTGCACGTTCTTGCATGGTTTCTTTCAGACTTTTTTTCTTCTCTGGAGCGCGGGGCGCTGAAAACTTTCGGGAAGGCTTCTTTAAAAACTCAGGGTTCAGGGTAGGGGAGAGTGGCTTTAGTTAAATTATATACTTTCTATAAAATTGTAATATTTGTTTCCAGAAGTGATAGACATGCTCCGTAGGGCAGTGCCTCCCCCCCCCCCCCCCCCCCCGAAGAGATGCCTGATGGGAATCGTTTGCCATTTTTCATCTTTAATTTTAGCACAGTTCGTAATTTAAAACAGGTTACATTGTTTACCTATCTTAAATTATCGGATGTTTATGTTTATAGCCGTCATTGTGTTTTATATTTTTAGAAGGAGATATCTACAGTCTAGCATCCAGGATTCAAACTTGATCCCTAAATACATTAGCCTATCACCCTAACAAGCTGTAATGGCCCTCTTTAAGATTACAATTGAGAAGGAAATCAAACAAAATTTACTATAGCAGAACATATTGAATTATTGAATGTGAACCGTGATTATTTCCTTATTTCACACAATACAAAATAACAGTTGGAACCAGCGGTGGGGGGGGGGGGCAGGGGCAGTTTAGGGGCCCACAGCCGACCGACCGTAATTTATATAATTATATGGTAGAGGTGTAGCGAGGGGGGTTTAAATCGAAAGTTTGAGAGGGGGGGGGGTGCAAATCGAAAGTTTGAGGGGGAGGGGGTGCAAATCGAATATTTGTCCCCGGTTGCTACGCCTCTGATATATTGGGGCCCAAAAGAATTTTTTGCGGGGGTGGCCCTATTTTTCTAGTTCCGCCACTGGTTGGAACACGTTTATTTTAAACAAGGTGGGTCCTATAATCTAGGAAGAAATACAACTTTGAACAAGGTTTTATATCTCACATTGACTATACGTGTTCATTTGTGGCCCTTGAGGAGCAAAGGGCTGCACACACACCCCTCCACCGGTTTTGGGCGGTAAACCCGGCAGCCCTTGCCTCTCCTTCGACCGTCATTTAGAATAGATCCCACAGGTTTATTTCACAAAACATGTTTTAAAAAGGAAGCAACTGTTATCTGCCAACCGAACCTGATATTTTAACCCCCCCCCCCCCCAGTAACTGCTGTCTGAAACAAATGTCCCAGATACTTGTTCTGGGAACACAAGGCCAGGTACAAATGTCCCAGATACTTGTTCTGGAAACACAAGGCCAGGTGCAAATGTCCCAGATACTTGTTCTGGGAACACAAGGCCAGGTACAAATGTCCCAGATACTTGTTCTGGGAACACAAGGCCAGGTACAAATGTCCCAGATACTTGTTCAGGGAACACAAGGCCAGGTGCAAATGTCCCAGATACTTGTTCAGGGAACACAAGGCCAGGTGCAAATGTCCCAGATACTTGTTCAGGGAACACAAGGCCAGGTGCAAATGTCCCAGATACTTGTTCAGGGAACACAAGGCCAGGTGCAAATGTCCCAGATACTTGTTCAGGGAACACAAGGCCAGGTGCAAATGTCCCAGATACTTGTTCAGGGAACACAAGGCCAGGTGCAAATGTCCCAGATACTTGTTCAGGGAACACAAGGCCAGGTGCAAATGTCCCAGATACTTGTTCAGGGAACACAAGGCCAGGTGCAAATGTCCCAGATACATGTTCTGGGAACACAAGGCCAGGTGCAAATGTCCCAGATACATGTTCTGGGAACACAAGGCCAGGTGCAAATGTCCCAGATACATGTTCTGGGAACACAAGGCCAGGTGCAAATGTCCCAGATACATGTTCTGGGAACACAAGGCCAGGTGCAAATGTCCCAGATACTTGTTCTGGGAACACAAGGCCAGGTGCAAATGTCCCAGATACTTGTTCTGGGAACACAAGGCCAGGTGCAAATGTCCCAGATACTTGTTCTGGGAACACAAGGCCAGGTGCAAATGTCCCAGATATTTGTTCTGGGAACACAAGGCCAGGTGCAAATGTCCCAGATACTTGTTCTGGGAACACAAGGCCAGGTGCAAATGTCCCAGATACTTGTTCTGGGAACACAAGGCCAGGTGCAAATGTCCCAGATACTTGTTCTGGGAACACAAGGCCAGGTGCAAATGTCCCAGATACTTGTTCTGGGAACACAAGGCCAGGTGCAAATGTCCCAGATACTTGTTCTGGGAACACAAGGCCAGGTGCAAATGTCCCAGATACATGTTCTGGGAACACAAGGCCAGGTGCAAATGTCCCAGATACTTGTTCTGGGAACACAAGGCCAGGTACAAATGTCCCAGATACATGTTCTGGGAACACAAGGCCAGGTGCAAATGTCCCAGATACTTGTTCTGGGAACACAAGGCCAGGTACAAATGTCCCAGATACATGTTCTGGGAACACAAGGCCAGGTACAAATGTCCCAGATACTTGTTCTGGGAACACAAGGCCAGGTGCAAATGTCCCAGATACATGTTCTGGGAACACAAGGCCAGGTACAAATGTCCCAGATACATGTTCTGGGAACACAAGGCCAGGTACAAATGTCCCAGATACATGTTCTGGGAACACAAGGCCAGGTGCAAATGTCCCAGATACATGTTCTGGGAACACAAGGCCAGGTACAAATGTCCCAACAGTTGATCGACATGTTTACAAATTTCGTGACCCGTGACCTAGGTCACGTTAACCTTGTTTGGCTCAATAAATTACCAGATTAGGCACATTTTTTGTTCGTAATTAATTATACTCACAGATAAAATAATGATCCATAGTGAGTAAATACAAATAAATAAAATATTATACATTTTAGCCTGGTAGAGCTTTTAGATTGAAATAATTTTTTGCAATAAAATGAGGAAGTGTATTTGATAATTTAAAATAAATACATTTTGAACGAGAAATAATAATATTCATTAATAAAAACTGATTTATTGGGGGGGGGGTTACGTCTAAATAACCAATACAACACTTTTTTTTTCTCTGTGAAATAACATAAGTAACTAGTTCGAAGTCCCATGGTAGTTTGCTAAATTACATTGCAATCACAGGTTCAGGTGATTTCTACAGCTTATTTTAATCAAAGTTCACCTCCAGTTTAAACGATAGAGCGGATATAACACACGCTTATCCGATTATAACGTAACAGACTTCAGAGGTGTACTTTATTCGTACTTTTATTTCTTGCCTGTTTTTACAGAATCATGTTTCACAGTAGGCCCTACTCGTATGATTAGCTCTTATCTCGTGTCAGTGTTACGAGTTACGTCCCTTTGGGAAATGATTCACTTCGTCGTTGGGAGAACAGATCGAAACAAAGCAGACGACCAGTGTTTCTTCCAGACTTTTTTCTCCGGGGGGGCACTTGAAATCTTCGGGGGGGGGGGGGGGGGGCGGTAAACTTTCTTCGGGGGGGGGGAGGCGGATACTGTTAAAAGTATATATTGTCTATATAAATTATATAGATTTCATTTCGTTCGGGGGGGGGGGGGGGGGGCGGTAAACTCTGCAGACGACTTACCCTCACCCTCCCTTCCCCTCCCTGCTTCAACCAAACATACATGATAAAATTAAACTACTCCGTGCCGAATATAATCCGTGTTAACTTTATTAACTACTAAAAGCTAATCCTCATCTATTTAATAATTCTAAAAAATGTAACTAATGTGACTTCTGTTCTTTACGTCCTGTAAAATTTCTAATCAAATTTTACTATTTAGTATTGCTTTTATTATGTGTTTTATACTCAACCGTATTTTACACGCTCTTAAATATATATGTATATAAAATTAAATATTTAGAGATATATTCCAGCATATTTGAGGATCTTGTGATCAGTACAGCTGCATTGATCTTTAGGCTAAAGAACTTTTATGTGATCTTTAGAGCATTGTATTGCATTTAGTGCATAATTAAGTGCATAATTAAGTGACCTTTAAAGCACCATAGTGTAATATTTAAAGAATCGTGACATGCATGCATCGTTTAGTCATCTTGAGATATTTGATGAGTGTTCATTAAAGCAACATTGTTTGATCTTGAAAGCATAGTGATCTTTAGAGCAATGCTGATTTATCTCTGTAGCAATGCTAATCTTTTATAGATATTTTATACTTGCAGGGTCTGTTTGCTGCAGGTCGACTCATTGCTGTTCCAATCGCTGCCAGATTCACGGCGTCGTTCATGTTGATTGTCAATGTGGTGAGTACTCTTCTCCTGCTCTTTGTTTTATACATTTTATAGCAATAAAAGTGACCATCCACGAAATTCGCACAGGCCCCATTTTATTTGCCTACGGAACATGATCCCTATGTTATTAATCGAGGTAAATACGCCGTTTTTGTAATACTTTTTTTCCCTACTTTTATACAGCTAGAAAATGTTATTTAATTTCCCATAAAACTGCATTAGGTGCGATGCTGTAATTTTTTAATTAATTTTTTTACAGCGGAGCCACACTATAAAATCAATTAATTCGGTGCTAAAATATAAACAATTAACTGACAAACCGTTTCGTAATAATATATTTTATGGGACATTTTCTAGTCATTAATTTATTTTAAAAAAAAAACTTGTTTTTTCTTTAAGCGAAGTAACTCATTAAATATCTTTTTCAAAATAATTATCTGAATAGCCCCCCTTTCTAATAAACAACTTTCTCCTGGTTTCAATGAAAGATTTTTTTTTTTTCTTAATGATTTTAACTCACAGATAGGATGTGCCACTGCCCTACTTCTGACCATCATTTTCCGTTGGAGTCACGTTATGATCTACCTGGGCACCTGTAGCATAGGTCTATTTGTCAGCAGCATGTCCCCTACTGTCATGTCCATGGCTGAACAATTTATAGATATCAACTGTAAGTTGTTTTGATTCATTGAATTTTTTTTTTTAAACAATTGGCTCAAAATTTTTACTGTAAAATGTCATTATTTCACAATTATTGTTACAAGTAAAAAAAAAAAAAAAACAACAAAAAAAAAACCACTGCACACTTTATAAATAACACTGAGACCAAACTGCCATCTTCAAAAAGTATAAAACCTACTACAAGTTTAAATATTTTAGACATATTTCTAGTATTTAGACTATTTATTACTATTAGGTTAGAATAAAAAGAAATACATTTTTATTAGACAATTTAGTTTTAATCCATAGCAGGCAAGTGTATTACTTTTTATTACAACCAAAAAAAGAATATCTGACTTTATTTCAAATTATTTTGTTATTAAATAAAATTCAACAGCATCCATCACAACATGTTTGGTTGTGATTGCTGCCCTCGGTGAAGCTCTCTGCCCTGTAATAGTAGGAAATGTAAGTAGCCTCCCCTTTTGTAATGTTACATGTAATAACCAGTTTGAATAAGAAAATGTGATTACAGTGTAAAGCAAATCACTATTTTTAAATAGTGCCTTCTCAAATTTATCTTTAATATACAATTGTAAATATGAGCTAGATTTGACCTGACAACAAGTCTAAACAGTTTTCAATGTTTTCAATGGTTTTTATATGCAGATTTTTAATCTTAATTTGGTAGTTAAGAGCAACTTTGTTGAAATTTAATGTAATGTAAAACTTGCAATAATACTACAGCATAAGTGTTAATGTTTTTGGTATTAAGAAGAATGTATCTCTAATTTAAGCTTGCAATAGTATTACAGCCATTGATCAAATTTTTTTTTTTTTTTTTTTTTTTTTTTTTTTTTTTTTTTTGATTATATTGAGAAGAATTCAAGATTTTATCTTAAACTTTGATTAATATTACAACTAAAGTAATTATGTTTTTTTTTTTATTATGAAGATTTTATCTTTTTAATGTTAAACTTGCAATTAATATTAGAACAAATTTATCAATGTTTGTTGGTACTTAGAGAAAATTACCAGATGAACTTGTTTTCTTCTTTGTCCACAGCTTGTGGTTAACAATGGCCCGTCCAGTTTCCTCGTCTTTTGCTTCACCTTCAGTGTGTCCGCAATATTTCTTTACGCTGCATTGTTATTCATGGGAAGACAGTCTGAAAAGTTCAAAGGTCAGAGAATGTCTTAAATGTATTGAATATCTTCTTTGATTTTATACTGAAAAACAATCATATCTTTTAAATATAAGTACAACTATTTAAAATGCAATGTTACATTATTTAAATTATTCATCTTCAATATGTTAATTACAATTAAATTTAATCAGTTTAATTATTTACTATTCATTATTCTTAGAATTATTTAGCAAAAAATATCTAATGTGCCTTAAAATAAAATGTAGCCTATAGATTATATTTTGCAAAAAAAAAAAATGAATATGCACTAAATCAAATTTATAGATATATTTTGCAAATATTTATTTCATGTGCACCAATGTAAATGTTTATTGATATTCCATTAGTTTCCAAACCGGAGTCATTTATTTGGTTGTCTGGAAAACAAGTCATTGTTGAAGGGGAGAGCACTTTTATCAAACCCTCCAGCATCAAGTACTACAGCAGGATGACAGAGAGTGACTCCAACATGGAGATGGGACCAATGGGATCAAGAGAAAACCTGACAGAAAACATCGCACATTAAGATTTATTTGGTTAATTATGTACATATCTATTACATTTATTTGAAATAAAACTTTATTTTAAAAGAATAATTTGCTAATTTTTGTGTGAGTAAACTGCTAATGATTTTTTTAAAAATGTGTAATCAAGTACTTATTTGTTATAGAAAAGTTATTTTTTTCTTCTTTTTCTTTTATTAATATGCAAGATATCAGAATTTTATTTAATGAAGAGATTTTTCTCATTTTTGTTTTTTCATTGAATGTAATATTTCACATTTGTAAAAAAAAGTGTAAAATAAGAGAATTTTAATTGCTTGTTCATCCTGATTACATTTTAAAGTTCACTCACCATTTTATTAATCATGTGATATTAATATTTTTTTAAATACACTGTGATGGAAATCTAGCTTACAAAAGCAGTTTCTAAAATGTTTACCTAAAAATATTTCTTTTTATGGTTAGATCTGGGTAGAAATTGTGAAATTTTTATAATTGTACATTATTTGATATAAGCTTTCAACTGCTAATAGTTTTAGTTATTTTGAAGTAATATATTATGGATAGATAAACATTGAACTGTACTTTTTTTTAATCCTCTCAAAGAAGTTTTAGTTAAATATAAAAAATTTAAATGGAAAATATTTTAAATAATTTGCAACATTTTCTAATGTACATATTTTGTTAAAAACACAAAATATCAATGTGATCATATGTATTCGCTTTTGTGTGTTGTTTACTTTATTATATATTGTCAAACTAAAAACAATTCCAGGTACCATACACGATATTGATTTTATCATTATAATAGTTGCATGAAATAGTTGTCCATAGTCAGGTAATATCATAGACCATAATTTATAAAATTTGTAGTTTAGTTTTTGTTTTTCTGTAATTCACCTCAAAACTGGGGGATTTTACGTCAGTATTTTATTTTTATTTTACCTCAGATATCTCTTGTAATAATATGTTCTAAGTGTTTACTGTAGTCACATATAGTGGAGTCACGTAGAACCTGGTATTTCAAGGTTGACGAGTTAGTCTTGTTAAATTCATGTGATTCTTTCTTTACACACTGTAAATATTCTCATGCTGCTTTCTGTGACAAGCATTCAACTTAAGCCCAGCCTCGCTGTGATACTCCCCCCATCTGACTAGAGCTGTTTCATCAACTCTTTCATTTCCTACTTAACCAGTTCACTGTCTTCTATACGTGCTTATATATTTAATACTTCTGATTTGTGTATAACCATTTATGATTTATTCTCTCATTATTGTTGCATCAAACTTAATTTGAATACTAAATTATTTTTTGTAATCATTTGCACATTAGCAATTTTAAAATTATTCACTCTTAAGGACTATTTATTTTATTTTTGTATCTTACAAATGTTAGTGTTGCAATAATCTGACCTTTGCAAATATTGCTTTCAACTAAATTAATCAAAGACGAAAGTCCATTCATGATTGTTTTTTTGTATTGTTGTATTAAAAATTTCAGGTAACTCTACATAATGAAGTTCAGTAAATTTTTGTTAGTAATTGTAAATTTTATTCTGCTGATCATATACTCTACCAACCAGAATCACAAGTGCAATAATTGCTGCAACCTCTTTCTAAGGAAAAATTATGTAATAAAACGTTTTTTTATGGTAAGTTTTTTTAATTTTAGAAAAAAAATATATTGCATATTGATTATAGGTTATATAATATCTAAGGAAAAATTGAAAATAAAATAAAAATCTATAACTTTATTTGGTTAAAATTCAATACAATTTTCTCTTGAGTTAAAAACAAACAGGATACATAGATAGGAATTACATAATGTGTGTTTTGTCTAATTATAACATTACATTTATTCTATATGATTAATTTTGAACTATTAAAAAAGCATATCTTTGACAGTTACATATCATTTTCTTTTTCATTTTGTTAACCTTTGTTTCTTAGCTCAAGGTTTACATGATATTTCTTCATTAATGACAAGTTTTCACACATCTTAATGTCAATAAATCACTTATTTCATTTTAAGTAGATTAAATGTACAAGATATGGATATAGCTCATTTTATAATTTTAGCAAGACGTAATAAGGTGCAAGTGGTGATATGTAGGTCTACTACATCACCCTTAAAGCATGTATTATATTTAAACACTTTTAATTAACTTACTACATAGTGTCTAATATATTTTCATAAAAATAAAAATGCTGCTTCTAGAAAGTCTAGATCCACTTCTGTCTAAAAATTCTGGTGTTTTATTTCCTTGTCCTTAGTAACTGGTTTTTTAAACAGTGTGCATTATTATTTTTCATTAGGACAGGCCTTAGGAAGGTAAATGTTTTAGAAACTATATTCAAGTTATGAGATGTATTGATGTGTTGAAGAAAATTCATCCCGGCAATTAAAAATTATAGATTAATGAGATGAATGGAATTTAAACTCCTTATACAATTTACTATAATTTATTCATTAATCTGGTTTAAAAATAAATGATTGCATATTATATTAGACTTTTATCTTAAATGTATAATGTACCTTTTATGTTGAAGTGTAGACTTTGAATAACTGTTGTTGTTATAAATCAAGTTATGACCAGAATCTATTTATTTTATTAAATGCACATTTCCCATCCATGATTATTTTTTAAATCATATGGTTTTTTCAATGTCAACTTTTAAAATTTCATCAAGTATTCAACAACAAAAATATTGTTTGTTTTGTATAATCCAGATGTGAATGTAATTGAAAACATGTTCAACTTACGATGAGGAGTATTTTATTTCAATTTAAAATTTATTAAAAAGCAATCCAGTGTTTTATATATTTTTGTCTTATCACAATGCTTGTTACGTGAAGAAAAAAAAATTGCTTGTGTTTCACTTTTTATGAAAATCTGATATAAAAAGATTGAATTAAAGTTCATTATTTATTTTACATATCATTCGTATAGTACGTTAATACTAATTAATCAAGTGGGTGATCATGTGTGGTTTTATGTTTTATGTTTATTATTTTAAATTTCAAAATAATTTAATTTTAACATGTTCCATGCATAATCAAATGGTTACATAAAAATTGTCTTTATGTAAAACAACTTATTTTTGTGCTCTTGAATTTATGTCATTTTTGTGTTCAGGTTTTTTTTTATTTTCAAGAAAAATTTAATTTAATATAAATTGATACACATTTAATCAATTATAATTCATTTACACCATGTAACAAAGAGAATTAGATACTATTAGTTTTTTTTTAAAAGTACAATTTTACCATTGCTTTACTGAGGGCAAATTAACTTTTGTAATAACGTAAGCCCTTTTTAATCTGAAGTAAGCTTTGTTGGTAGTTAATAGATTAGATACTTTAAAAACTTTCATTAAAAGTTTTCATTTTATTTATATTGCTTATATTCATTAGTTTACCTGTAGAGTAAAAATAAGAAAATTTAAACTATAAAACAATTTTCAAATTAGGTTCCTAGTGTTTATAAAATTATATAAAATATCTTAAATATTTGACAAAACCTGCATTTGTCCCTAGCCTTTGTCAATACATATTGAAAACATAAATATTACATTTTTTGTAATTAAATGAAAGACAAATTATTTATTTTTATTATTTATTTGATTTTTTTTTAATTTATGAAATTATAAAACAACGTACGTCTGTCTGTCAAGTGATAATAGCAATAACTAGCCTGCTCGTTTGAACTTATCAATATTAAAACATTCTGCTTGTAAAATTGTTTTATTTTTTATGGTTGATCAGATTGTTGTGATAAAAAAAAATATCACACTAACTTCTGCCTAGTATAGTGATCTTGTGTTCTATTTGAGTGAAATTGTTTATGTCTTAAATAAAACAATATTAAAATATTAACAAGCTGATGTTGTGTTGTGTTTTAAACATTACATTTAAAAAACTATCCTTTTATCAAGTAGGGATTTGGTTTGTTTTTATAGCGTAGAGGGCAGGGTCGGATTCTCCTTCTTCCCCCCTCCCCACTCACCAACGAAATATAATTTAAACACAAAATGTATAATTTTACTAGTGTACGCTCCCTCCCCCCCCCCCCTGAAAAATTAAGTCCGCCCCCAACCCCCGAAGGTTTCTAGTGTCCACCCACCCCACCCCCCCCCCCCCGAAGTAAAATGTTTGAAAGAAACACTTGACGTTACTCGCATGAAAACCGTGACTTTATGCTGATGTCTGACATTTAAAATATCACGCGGCCTAGCGGTAGAGCGCTAGACTGCTAACACGAACATCTCGACTTCGCATCCAATTTCTAGTCAGTTGAACTTCCCTGAGTCCACCCAACTCTGTTGGATACCTAACCTTAGGGAAAGTAAAGGCCGCTGGGCATAGTGCTGACCACTATCCCTCCATATGACTAGGTCACACAAAAAACACAAGGGGAGTCTATTTCACATGCCCCATTAAAAACCTGGTTCCCAACTGTGACGTGATGTTGCCAGAGTTACTTTCAGGCATCCGAGCCCCCCCCCCCCCCCCGGAAAAAAAACGTCCCCCCCCCATCCCAACGAAATATATTTATAAATATGAAATGTATTAATTTACCAGTGTCCCCCTCCCCCCTGCCCCACGGAAAATTTAGTCCGCCCCCATCCCCCGAAAATTTCAAGTGCTCCCCCATTCCTCTTGCACCATTGAATGTCCGGTTTGCAACTAGGTTGATATTCTTTCAAGACGAGTTATTGAGACATACATTAAAACAATCAGTGACGTAGCCAGGATCGTCTCATGGGGGGGGGGGGGGGGGTTCAAATATTTTCCAGCATTTTATATATATATATATATATATATATATATATATATATATATATATATATATATATGTGTGTGTGTGTGTGTGTGTGTGTACATATGCATGTGTAAGTGCGTGCGTGTAAAGTATTGGTGGCTGGTGACAATAGAAACTCGTGGGTGCCACCGACTAACTTATCTTAGTATTAGCTATTGTTTTGTAACAAGTAACACATGTACACTATCGTAAAAAAATTATAAAAATCAAATTTCCATCATTTTCAGCAGTTTTCTCCAACTAAAAATTTCCTTGTCGGCCGCAAAATATTAGAGATTCTATTATGGGCGCTAATCTTAAACGATTTTCTTGAATTTGTTGACTTATGATAAATTTAAGGAGATTTTAATAAGTTAATTTTTTTTTCTCCATCACCGATTTACGATTTTGGGAAAGTAAAATTGCTCTTTTATGATACTCACATTGCTGGTGCTCATTAAACTTGTCTGTTGCCTTTTTCCAGTTTGAAAATGAAATTTTTGATAGCTTATCCATAGGCTGACTACCTACACCACGATAATTCAAACTAATCAAAACACAATATTTGCAAAATGCGCCATCAAGTAATTTGGAATAAGTCAACCAGTTCCACCTAAGTAGCCACAAATATTGAAACTTTAAATTTCTTTGTCCGCTTGCTGGAAATTTTAAAAGTTCATCAGGACGCCAGATGTTTTCTAATAAATACAACCGTGTATCGTCTGTTATAACTCCTTTGATAAAATTGCCGATATCATTTGCGTAAGAAACAGTCGAAGGTGCTGAATTTATGGAAATTTCTTGATGTAATGTAATTTGAAAAGCAATAGTACCATCTTCATTTTTATCATTTTCAGTTTTACTTTTCTTTGTAAAGAAATCAGTTAATAAAGTAGTTTTTAATTTCCTTTTTCCTTCCGCCATCATTAAAATGAATTTAAATTGCTTGAAGTAGTTAAAAGATACACATTAAAACACGACTATACGAAGAAGAAAGCAAATTATTATTGGTCTTCTATTCTGTCTAAATTGACTACTGTAGGTTCCTGGCTTTACATCTATATTTAACCAAATACGCAGTTTTTTTTATATAGCCTACCAACACAAAGTTTTGTGTCAACAATTGTGGGTCAAGCCCACGCCTTCCTGCCAGATGTGCATCCGGTAGTATTTTATAATTGATACGTACCAATATTCATCCCACCCTCACCCCCTTTTACACCCCTTAACTGATAACCTTGTTCAGCTTTCCCTTCGCCTATTGCGACCCTGAGTGTTTGTTGTTTAAGCACTGAATGATAGCGACACAAGTCCATCGTCGTCAATAGCTGTAACTTAACGTAAAGGATTGTCATTTTGAAGGTTCTACCCCCCCCCCCCCCCCCTCCCCTCACCCCTGCCTACTCCTCCCTCTGCCATCTTTATCATTTTCAGTTTACTTATCTTTTTAAAAATTAAGTGAAATGAATTTCAAATGGTTTGAAGTAGTAAAAACATACACATTATAGAACCTCAATGCGAATAATAATCAATTCCTTTGTTTGTTTTTCATTTCTAGACGCTTTCCGATTGCACTACAATCATATTAGACAACAAAGGCCTACCCACGTAGCCCACCCCTCCCTTTCGACACTCCTTAACTGATCTAACCTTGGCCAACTTTCCCTTGGCCTACTGCGTTCCAGATTATTATACTTTACTTTAGCGCGATAATAAAATTCATAACTAAATTCTACAGGCAATTCTCATCACAATGATATACATTGTTGTTCTAGAGGCTGCCAGGCTTAAGTGTTTAGTGTTTAAGCCCTAAATAATATTGACACAAGTCAATAGCTATAGCTTAACGTAAAAAAGTAGTCATTTTGGGGGTCCATGGGGGGGGGGGTTATAACCCACCCCCCTAACCCCCCCCCCTGCCTACGCCACTGAAAACAATACTTAGCACTCGTTTTTGTGTTTGATTGTTGTTTATATAAAAACAAAACAAACAAACAAACTTGGAAGATGAACCCACAATTATGACGTGATGAGCCTGTCAAAAAAGTCGCCATGTTAATCGGTTATTGATCCGAGCATGGACGTGCTTTGTTCACCTGCGCGTTAAATCGATGGCGAATTTAGACCAGGTGATAAAGAAAACACCAGGTGCTTGAAGAAAGTAAAGCGTTAGTTTTGTTCTTGTCGAGTTGCAACAAAAAGTATTTCAACACTCAAAACCTAGCTCTACCGTTTTGGTACGCTTGCGTTTTCCTTTAGTAAAACAGCGAACTACTGGTTTTTTTTCAAGATACGGATGTAGGGGCCTACACTTTTAATATCTCAGTAGTTAAACCAAACTTCTTACTTTCAACAACCACGGCAGAAACATTGTTATCTAAACATAATTCTGGTTTTAAATATCCCTTCTCGTAGCCTTATTGAAGTGCAACTCAGTGCTAGGGGACTTCATACAATTTTCAGAAGCAAATCGCCCATTCTTTGTGAACCTTTAAGGCTTTATATTTTTATTTTCTAGATGGTAAAGAAAAAGGACTAACAAGGCAGATGTTGAACATTATTAATGTAAACTACTGTTAGCAATATATACCCAGGCTGAAAATAATGTTGTGAATAAAACTGTTGAGAATGATAAAAGAAACTAGGGTCGGTAATGATCAATGGTTGCTAGATCGTTAAGTCCCGAGTACACCCCCCCTCCACCTCCTAATCCTCCGTGCAGGTAAAGCGTGACCCGGAAGAAGACACCAAGAAGTTCGGATACACCTGGGGACAGTTGGAGAGACTAGACCAGGACAGAGATACCTGGAGAGCCCTAATCATGTCTCAGGCTAACTGAAACAAAATATCAATACAATTGATTAAAATACAGGCTACCTACACTTTAATGAGTCCTAAATAAGTTGAGGACAATCGCTATGTTCATGGGCATCATTTATGTAACAGTCAACAATCAAACAGCAAAAAGCTAATATATTTGCACAACTCTCCAACGATTTTTGATGTTTATTTAAAACTAACTAAATTACCTTCAGGTTTGATAGGCCTCAGAGCAAGGAGAGAGGCTCCCACGCATATTCGTCGTTGTACAATGTCTGTAATCAATAAACACTCTCATTAGAGTTTGATAAAATGGCGAGTTAATTAACCTTAAAATTGATTAGCTTATGTAAAGCTATCTGTCCTAGGTTCTACAGGAGAAGATCGTCCAACAGTCCGAGAAGACGCCATGTACCTAGGAGTTGTTCAGTTGTTGCTGTGTTTCGGACTTGTCTCTGGGAGCTGGCAGTCGATCAGAGGTAAATATTGCAGTTAGTCTTGGCTAAGACATGTGTTGCACGAGAACATAGGTTTTCTAAGGCGATGAAGCGTTGTTGATTATCAGCCAGCATGCTAGTGTCGGCGTGCTCGAGTTGCTATGGCAGATCAGACTCGATAGCTTGGGTTGCAACTCCAAAATCAAACAACTGCAGCCTTGTAGTTTGTTCTTGGTTGGACAAAGGCTATGGAAGCAAATCCAAAACGAAAAGCTGGCTGAAATCGGAGTCAGCGGTCTATATGGCGCATAACCAGTTGTCGCGTAATAATTAATTATTTTGGAGGGAATCCCTTCCAATACTAGAATTAAAAGAAATATGCATATTATTGAAGTTGATTTTTGTAGCGCACTAGACTGCTAGCCATGGGATGGAGTGGTCTAGCGGTAGAGAGCTGGACTGCTAACCCTTAAGTCTCGAGTTCGAATCCGGGTTCAAGTCAATAGAGTCCACCCAACGCTGATGGGTACCTAACTCACGTTAGCGAGAGTAAAGGCGGCTGGGCATAGTGCTGACCACACTATCTCTTCATATGCCGAGGTCACAGAAACAGATGAACTCTACTTCACTTGCCCCAAGGACCGTCAGGTTTGAAAGGGAAACTTTTACTAGACTACTAGCCCGAAAGGTCTCGAGTTCGAAATTAGGATCAAGTCAATAGAACGTCCGAGAAACCGCCCAGAAAGGTACCTGTCTAACCTGACAGTCCATGTGGCAGGTGAAGTAGAGTTCTCCTGTTTCTGTGACCTCGGCATATTAAGAGATAGTGTGGTCAGCTCTATGCCCTGACGTTACTTTCACTAACGTATGTTAGCTATCCATTCGAGCAATTTTCAAATATTTCAACACCGTTTTAGCGGCCTTTCGGCATTCTGTTAGGCAGTCTACTTCTGACGTCCAACGAAATCAGTTCTTCAAATTTCGGACTAAATATTTTCCTCAGTTTAGATGGTGATAAATATGTTTTCATATAAAGAAATATACGCTTTTAATAATTAATTTTTTTTTTCCACAGAAGTTTGGCAATGTAGAAACAATCTTTGTGAAAACGACGGGACTTGTCGGCTAAGAAATCAATCACCGGTTTGTGTTTGTAAACCCGGGTTTACTGGCCAATACTGCGAAAGTGAGTTTAAATGATTGTAATTTTATCTGGATAGATACATTCTCATATAATAGCTGGATAAAAGCATTCTCATAGAATAGCTGAATAAATACACATGCAGATAATCAACTGTACACAATTTTGTTTTTACCTCTTAACAAGGTACCAATCAGGAAGTCGATGCATACGTTAGAAACTGTTTTCTTAGTAATTAGCGCAGTGGTTCTCAACCTTTGTTCGATCGAACCCATGGGTTCGGTGAGTCGGTCTTATGGGTTCGCGGAGGTCAGTGCGCGCAAACGAGATTTTTGTCATTGCGTCCGATAAAACTACTAACAAGGGTTCACTAAATGAGACTAGTGGGATTCAGTACATCCAAGAATGTTGAGGACCACTGAGGTTGAGTAAAGTTAGATGTACTCGTCATGGGTGTAGTGCGACTTGTTGCGTTTTAGACAAACAAATGCCACACTAACATACGTTTTTTTATAATCTTTGTTTACGTCATTTCGTCTAGACATTATTTAGGTAACTTCTAAGATACCGAATTAATGTCAATAATGTATGCTAATCCATATGCTTATCCTTTAGGTGACTTCTATTATACGGAATATTTGCCAATAATTTATGCTACTCTAAATACACATCATTTAGGTAACTTATAAGATTTGAAAGTTATGCCAATAATTTATGCTAATCAAAATACACACCATTTAGGTAACTTCTATTGTATGGAATATTTGCCAATAATTTATGCTAATCTATGTGCTCATCATTTAGGTGACTTCTAAGATACGGAAGTTATTCCAATAATTTATGATAACTCATCACTTAGGTGACTTCTGAAATACGGAGTTAATGTGTATCGTCAATGTATGCTAATCGGTGTGTCATTAATGTATGCTAATCGGTGTGTCATTAATGTATGCTAATCTGTGTGTCATTAATGTATGCTAATCTGTATGTAACTAATGTATGCTAGTCTGTGTGTCATTAATGTATGCTAATCTGTGCGTCATTAATGTATGCTAATCTGTGTGTCATTAATGTATGCTAATCTGTGTGTCATTAATGTATGCTAATCTGTGTGTCATTAATGTATGCTAATCTGTGTACCCACTAGTCCAGAAAGATCCATGCGACGATCTTCATTGTACAAATGGCGGTAATTGCATTCTGAAAGGAGATGCAGCTTTTTGTCGGTGTATGCCCGGTTACTATGGAAACACATGCGAATGTAAGACAGTGGACGCCACCATTTTTTTTTCTTTTTTATATGAATTTAATTAATTAGCATGACATGTCCTTTCTCTGATTGTCACTGAACTAATACTCTCAGATGTAGAGATATTATGTCAAAAACAGTGTTTCTTCCAGTCTTTTTTTCTCCAGGGGGAGGGGGGTGCACTTGAAAATTTCCGAAGGGGTAGGTGGACTAAAATTTCCGGGGGGGTGGTCACTGTTAAAGGTAGACGGTTCTTCCGGGGAGGGGGCGGTCGACGTTCTGCCACCCTTCGACCCTCCCCCTCCCCCACCCGAGGAGATGCCTGGATGAAACTCTCGTCAACAGAAGTACGTAAAATCTAAACAAAGAACACAGAGACAGATAACATGACATTAACTCTGCTAGGAGAGACAACTCCAAAATCTAACAACAGACTGCTGGCTTGTAGTTTGTTCTTGGTTGAACAAAGGCTATGGAAGCAGAGCGTAAAAAAAGAAAAGCAGGCTGGAATCGAAGTCCACGGCCTATTTTGCGCATAACAAGTTGAAACGTAACACTCAATTGTCTCGGACAAAATCCTTTCTAACCAGTGGCGTAGCCAGGATCGTCTCAATGGGGGGGGGGTTCCAATTTTTACTTTCGATTTGCACCCCCCCCCCTCATACTTTATCTATATACCGAGGGGTCTATGGGGGGGTTATGACCCCCCTAACCCCCGCAGCCTACGCCACTGCTTCTGACATTACAATTAGTTAATAAAATGTAAACAAAGTCTACAGAGACCCCTGCCGGAAGTACATTTGTCTAAATGGCGGGAAATGTGAAAAGCCGAACAACGTGCCACAGTGTGTTTGCCAGGAAGGATTCTACGGCGAGAATTGTGAAAGTAATCTAAACATATTTATACAATAATTGTTACAGTTTTTTTAAAATTTACACTATTTTTTAAAGTTACAAAAATATATTTTTTTTTAAAGTTTCGAAGTTTAATTAAATCTAAGTTTAATTTCAATTTTAGTTATAAATTTTTAAGTATAATCTTTAACAAAACTAAAAACCAAAGTTTGTGTAGATTAGTAAAATGTTTGAGATAATTATAATCTGTAATTGATTTACCTGAGTAAGTTGTAACTAAACGATATCTTTAATGATTAGAATTTAAATATAAAAGATTTTAAAAAATCAACTAAGTGTAGTTTAAAATAAGAAACTTCAAGGATGCATATTGTATTTGAAATAAGAATTATCAATACATTTTCAAAAATCGACCTGAACCTATCATTAGCTTTATCAATATATTTTCAAAAATCAATCTGAACGCATATTAGCATTATCAATGCCATTTTATAATAGATCGAACCTATCATTAGCATTATCGATACATTTTCAAAATTCGATCTGAACGCATATTAGCATTATCAATATATTTTCGATCTGAAGTAGCCTTTATGTATCAATCCCATTCATTTCCTCAGTGAGTGTAGACCCGTGCTGGGGACAGCTATGCCTGAACGGTGGGGTGTGCTCGGCAGATGATGATAAGCCTGTCTGCAAGTGCCCAGGCGGATTCTATGGGGACAAATGCGAGCGTAAGATTACATTGTTTATAATAATTACCACTCCCACAGGGTAACATAGTGTAATATCGTTTTTTTTTAAGTTCTGTCAATTACGGTCGGGCGGGATTAGGATTAAGGTCTAATGGGATTAGGTTTAAGGTGAAGGATTGTGTTAAGATTATAGTAAGGTTAGGGCCAGGTTAGTTATAGACTAGCAAAAATACAGTTTGGGATCTGCTCCAATGACGTAATTAAAGATTTCTCTTTTAGATCTAGCGTTCTATTATAGAGTTGAAGTCGAGTTGATATGTTTCTAGACCTCGGCGTATGAAGGAATAATGTGGTCAGCACATTGGTAACCATCAGAGCTAGGTGGACTCTGGAACGTTACATTGACTTGATCCCCGGATTCAAATTTGAGTCTTTCGTGTTAGCAGTCTAGCGCTTTATCGCTATGCCACGCCGTCCTAAGTCTTATCGATGTAGCTAAATGATAAGTAACACAACATGCATTAAATGTTTCTCCTTTCTGGTTACGTATACAGTAAAATAAAAATATAAAACAAATTACACATTGCTTTCCCAGACTGCTAAAACTCATTTTAAAAATCACAATAAAATACTTAAAAAAAAACTTTTTAAAAAACCACGTTTTTCTTGTGGACTAAAAAGTAGAAAATAACTATTTTCATACATTTGATGACAAAAAACGTGGGTACGTTCACCATCAAATTTCCCGACCCATCTGCCCGACCCACGTTTTTTGTCATCAAATGTATGTAAATAGTTATTTTCTACTTTTTAGTCCACAAGAAAAACGTGGTTTTTTTAAGTTTTTTTTTAAGTATTTTATTTTCTCCTTTTTAGTCCGTTGCTACACATGAAAAACGTGGTTTTTAAAAAGTTTTTTATATAGTTTATTTTCTACTTTATCTAATCACTTGATTAAGTATGACTTGACTAAGTGTTTTTAAATACACGGACTAAAAAAATCTTGAGCGACCGATACGCTTTAAACAGAGAAAGGGTGTAATTTACGTTGCTGGCGTGGAGATCTACTCACGAATCACGTGATCAAATCTCCCATAAACAAACAAATAAACGCGAAGCTGAGTTAAGGAAAAACGTGTTTATGTGTATTTTAGCATGCCCAGCGTACCAACCGTGTCACCATTAACAATGTGTTACCGTGTCCGTTCTCCTTTTTAGTCCGTTGCTACACATAAAAAAACGTGGTTTTTTAAAAAGTTTTTTTTAAGTATTTTATTTTCTCCTTTTTAGTCCGTTGCTACACATGAAAAACGTGGTTTTTAAAAAAGTGTTTATAAATACACGGACTAAAAAAATCTTGAGCGACCAGGATTCGAACCTGGGTTCTCGCGGCCACAACGCGAAGTACTAACCACTATACGATCACGGCCAGCGCGCTCACATCGATTGGGGCCGAAGTAATTGTGTCAATAGGCCTCAAGTCTTGTCGGTATCTTTAGAAATCATGTCCTCAATTTTATGGTCCTTGGGGCGTAATTAAATTAAGCTAATTACGGTCACTAATTGCTAGTTTTTATGATTGCATCTGAAATTGTTAGGCAAAAGTAGCATGCATGCCAAATTTCAGGTCTCTAGAGCAATCAGAAGTGGGCTAATTTTCGATGTCAATTTTAACAACAAACAAACAAATCCACAAACGCGAAGCTGAGTTAAGAAAAACGTGTTAATAATAAAATACTTAAAAAAAACTTTTTAAAAAACCACGTTTTTCTTGTGGACTAAAAAGTAGAAAATAAATTTTCATACATTTGATGACAAAAAACGTGGGTACGTTCACCATCAAATTTCCCGACCCATCTGCCCGACCCACGTTTTTTGTCATCAAATGTATGAAAATTTATTTTCTACTTTTTAGTCCACAAGAAAAACGTGGTTTTTTTAAAAGTTTTTTTTAAGTATTTTATTTTCTCCTTTTTAGTCCGTTGCTACACATGAAAAACGTGGTTTTTTAAAAAGTTTTTTTTAAGTATTTTATTTTCTCCTTTTTAGTCCGTTGCTACACATGAAAAACGTGGTTTTTAAAAAAGTTTTTTATATAGTTTCTTTTCTACTTTATCTAATGACTTGATTAAGTATGACTTGACTAAGTGTTTATAAATACACGGACTAAAAATCTTGAGCGACCAGGATTCGAACCTGGGTTGTCGCGGCCACAACGCGAAGTACTAACCGCTATACGATCACGGCCAGCGCGCTCACATCGATTGGGGCCGAAGTAACTGTGGCAATAGGCCTCCAGTCTTGTCGGTATCTTTAGAAATCATGTCCTCGAATTTATGGTCCTTGGGGCGTAATTAAATTAAGCTAATTACGGTCTGTAATTGCTAGTTTTTATGATTGCATCTGAAATTGTTAGGCGAAAGTAGCATGCATGCCAAATTTCAGATCTGTAGAGCAATCAGAAGTGGGCTAATTTTCGATGTCAATTTTAACAACAAACAAACAAATCCACAAACGCGAAGCTGAGTTAAGAAAAACGTGTTAAAAAAGCATGAACTTTTTGTTAAAGCATTTTGTGAAATTCAACTGTTGTGTAATACTATTAAGAGCTATGGACATAATTTATTTACCAAGATACCTTTGCAAATTTTGAAAATAAAAAGTGCGTAAATCTAGAATCTAGAAAAAAAAAACGGGTTTGCACAGTCCGGTTCTGAAGAGATTTTTCCTATAAAACAAGTAATTGTTTCGTTAAACTTTAACTTAGATATTGTAAATAACAGGAAAGGATTTATAATAATTAAAACCAGAAACGTTTCCTTTCAGTATCTCTAGACCCCTGCCAGGGTTTGATCTGCTACAATGATGGTACCTGCTCACAGGAGGGGGGTGTGGCCTTCTGTGTCTGTTCCCAGGGATATACTGGCAAACGCTGCGAGTATTCTTTGTCCTGCCCCGTACGTACGCTTTTATTTGTCTATTGGTAGACATTGTTCAGTACCGTACGTACGCTTTTATTTGTCTGCTAGTATACATTGTCACGTTTATAGCTTTAAATTTCCAGGAGGTCTAGCCTAAGATTGCTCACAGTTCTAGATGTAAATTTCCAGAAGGCCTAGCATAACATTTCTAGCTTTAAACATCCAGACGGTCTAGCCTAAGTTTCTCACTATTGTAGCTTTAAACTTCCAGAATTTTTAGCCTAACATTTCCCACAGTTCTAGCTTTAAACTTCCAGAAGGTCTAGTCTAACATTTCTCAAAGTTTTAGCCTTAAACTTCCAGGTGGTCTAGCCTAACATTTCCCACAGTTCTAGCTTTAAACTTCCAGACTGGCCCTCTTGCTGGCTGCGGGAACAACTTCTGCCACGAAGACGCCAACTGTGCTGATGGTGAACGATGTTGTCCAAGCCCATGCAGCGGAAATAGATGCTTTGAACCCGTCTTTGGTGAGTTCATCTTTTTTTTTCAAATTCATCATCATCTTCATCTTTATCTTTTTTTTTCGTTTGTGCCCAAGATACATTTAGCAGATGAAGTAGAGTTCATCTATTTCAATGAACTCTACATATGAAGGATAATGTGGTCAGCCCAGTCGCCTTTGTTTTCCTAATGTAAGGTAGATTCAATAAAGTCCAACAGATTCGAGTCCCGGATCCGAACTCGAGACTTTTGGGTTAGTAGTCTTAAGCCCTTTTATCCGACCACGTCATCCCTTTTCTTTTTAAATTTAAAACAAGTATAAAAAGCATGTATCTCTACAGACTTGGAGTGTCTTTGGTTAGATGAAGTAGAGTATGTCTGTTTTTTTGGCGTGGTCGTGTCCAGAATTGTGTGGTAATCACTATGATAAAAACTCAGACACGGAATTTGTGACTGTCTGGTTAGCAAGTGAATTCTCTTCGTCTCGACCATGTTTTACAACGCACTGAATTTACAATGTTTCGCATAACTTCAAATTGAATTTACCTTTCAATAAAACATTGATTAATTATGCTTTTGTTTTCAACAATGCCAAACGTATCGTTTAACCTGCCCAACGGTAACAGCAAATAACAAAAATCTAAATCTCTCAGATATCGTCATGGACCCCTGCGCACGTTTCTGTAAAAATGGCGGCAAATGCCGGAAAAGAAATGGCCGACCTTTTTGTGAATGCCTGGAAGGGTACAGAGGCGATCGGTGTGAAAATTCGGAGTTGAGAGACCACCCTGGCAAATGTCCGAGCTTTGATGTAATTTTACTTTTTATTGATGTGATAGACAAAGGCATAGCGACCCCTCCCTGACAATTTTTCAATTTAAAAAGCGCCTCCAATATATTTTTTATATTTATAATTTAAAATAGCAGCTAAAATGAGCTTATTTTGGCGCCCTTAGTATCGGCGCCCGGAGAGATATGTATCCCTCCCCCCCCCCCCCCACCCCCCGTCGCTATGCCTCTGGTGATTGATAAATAACGACATAAAAGATCACAAAATAACAACATTTGTTGTTTAATAAAATCTTGACTTAATCTATGACACTGTCCATTGTCTAAAACAGGGGTCTCCAAACTTTTCAGTCCGAGGGCCGCATTAACTATCAAATTCAGTTCGGGGGCCAGTTAGTTCCAGACATGTCTTTGATTTTTCTGGTCAGTTCCTCATCATCACCTACACACGTTTTTTCCGTGGACAAAAAGATCTCCGCGGGCCGGATGAGAGGACCTAGCGGGCCGTAGTTTAGAGACCCCTGGTCTAAAACATAAATATAACCATAAAACCGATATCACTATAAAAACAACCTTCACACGATAGTTAAAGTTTTTTTTTAAATTTTAAATAATTCAATTAACTCATTAATCCACAATTATAATAACATACTTGTATGCGTTTAAAAAGGATTCCCAGTAAAAATTATAGAAGAATGTTCGCACTATTTTTCAGCTGTTGCCTGCAGACTTTTGTGGCGATGTGTTCTGTAAGGACGACTGGGACTGTGAACTCAGCCAGAAATGCTGCAGGAGCCCCTGTGGTCGTCGGCGTTGTATACCATCCTGTAAGCTCATCTTCCAATAATATACCATCATCTTTTTGTAAGGGATGGCGTGGTCTAGCGGTAGAGAGCTAGACTGCTAACCTATAAGTCTCGAGTTCGACCCCAGTTAAAATTAGTAGACAGTCCCTGAAAAAATATCCACCCAGCTATGATGGGTACCCAACTCACGTTAGTAAAAGTTGTATACCAACCTGTAAGCTCATCTTCCAATAATACACCATCATCTTTTTGTAAGGGATGACGTGGTCTAGCGGTAGAGAGCTAGACTGCTAACCTATAAGTCTCGAGTTCGACCCCAGTTAAAATTAGTTGACCGTCCCTGAAAACATATCCACCCAGCTATGATGGGTACCCAACTCACGTTAGTAAAAGTTGTATACCAACCTGTAAGCTCATCTTCCAATAATACACCATCATCTGTTTTGTAAGGGATGGCGTGGTCTAGCGGTAGAGAGCTAGACTGCTAACCTATAAGTCTCGAGTTCGACCCCAGTTAAATTTAGTAGACAGTCCCTGAATCCACCCAGCTATGATGGGTACCCAACTCACGTTAGTAAAAGTTGTATACCAACGTGTAAGCTCATCTTCCAATAATACACCATCATCTTTTTGTAAGGGATGGCGTGGTCTAGTGGTAGAGAGCTAGAATGCTAACCCGTAAGTCTCGGGTTCAAACTGGTGGTATACCCCTGAGTCCACCGATCTCTGATGGGTACCTAACTCACGTTAGGGAAAGTAAAGGCGGCTGTGCATAGTGCTGACCACACTATCTGTTCATATGTCGAGGTCACATAAATAGGTGAACTCTACTTCACTTACCCATAAATTGCCTATTCTCTCTTTCCTTTTTGTGACCAAGACACATGTGGTCGCCCTATAATATATAGTGTATTTTACACATTCCCATCTGTCAAACTCTAATTTACACTATCAACAAACCGGCGCTCTGCCCTCGTGTGTAGGCACATCTTCCCATAATATATCGTCATCTTTTCCTTGTGTGCCCTGTAAAATATTTTGCATTTTAGAACTTCCTTTCTGCTAATCACTTTTTTTCCTATCAACACATCTTTATGTAGTTAAAATCTGTTAGGTATGTGATTTAATCCTTGGTGAACTAGTTTATTGCTATTGGTCACATAATCCTTTGTAAACGTATCCAATAACGAAAGTCAGATAACCTTCGTTAGACGATCGTTAGAAAACTTATCTAATACTGGCGTTGAGATAATCCCTAGTATATTTATCCAATTCTATCAGTCAGATAATATAGTTAGTTAAATTACCCAATACTGTCAGTTAGACATCGTTTACTAACATATACTACACTGCCAGTTCGATTTGACTAGAATAATCTCGTTACAATTCCCCAAGTAGACGAACGTAGCTAGAAGAGGGCGGGTCGTGCGTTAAAATTTCATGATGCTGAATTTAAAGCAGACCTTTTTTTCTCATAGCCTCCTACACCAAACAGAGGCGTATCAACTTTTTCCGGCACGCGGGGCCGGCTATTAATTTTGCACCCCTTTCGCCCCATTTCTATAAATAGTTATTCCTTTCTGTGAAAAAGCCCCCCCCCCTCCCCCCCCCCCCCCCCAATCAGTTGGAAAGTTTTTGGAGCTTCTTCAGTTACTATCCCATAACATTTTTTTTTTTAATTTTCGTTCCACAAAATTAATTATATCAGTGTGTAAAGCTGTGTAGTGCTTTTTTTTTCAAAACGTTGACTGTGTATAATTGGAAACTTCAGCTTAGAATGAGCTTTTTAATTAATTTTTCTACCCCTATATAACACGCGCCCGGCGTGGCCGCCCCACCCTCCCTCTCATATCTGCGCTACTGATGCCGAATCCATATAAATAAATACACATTTTGTTGGAAAAGAAAACACGCCATTACTTCGTGTTCAAGTAGACACAACAACATTTTTTTTAAAAATTGTATAATATATCAAATTAATGATTTTGATTTTTTTTACACGCCATTACTTAGTGTCTAAGTAGAACAACAACAATTAAAAAAAATATGTATCATATATCAAATAGATTGTTTTATTTACTTAGCTGTTGAACAGATCGACCCCTGCAAAGGTTTCTGCAAACACGGTGGCAAGTGCGCTGCCATTGCCCGCATGCCGGTGTGTTTCTGTAGACGGGGATACACGGGCTTTCAATGTGAACACATCTTAAACCGTGAAATGTGCCCAATAAAGGTAGGCCTACTAGAGAATCACATGCAACCAGCTTGTTGTAAACACAAGTATCTGGTTTCTACGGAATACCTGTTACCGGTTAGTTAAAAACACACAACCGTTTTGTTTTTGCGTTAAAAATACAGAGTAACTATTTTGACAACTATATATTTAAAAAAATACGTGTAACTAGTTAGAAATACTTGAAAACCGTAACTCAGAAGCAGCATCAAGTAGCAATGCACAATTTTGTCCGCTTTTAGACTGATCCTTATTAAAAAAAAATATCTATTCATTAAAAACACATGTTACATTGATGCAAGTTCTCAGTGTTTCTTCCAGGTTTTTTTACCTCAAAGGGGGGGGGGGGGAGTCACTGGTAAAAGTATGTTTTCTATATAAATTCAATTTCTTTCGGGTTGGGGCGGTAGACTTTCTTCGAAGAGATGCCTAGAAGAAACTCTTTGGGAGTTGTACCATTTACTTACAAATACAATTGTGGTACAAGCTCACCAGACAGGCGTTTATTTGGCTCTATAAAATAGTCATTTTATTGAAAAACATTTTGATATAATTTTAAAAAAAAATAAATAACATTGAGCACTATTCTCATAAACTTATTTTATTTGCTTTCACGGCTGTTTATTTTTCGTGTGCTTATTCGTGTTTTGTTTTAAATTATTGTACTGCTAAAATTCCATTATTTTAAATTATAGATCCTAACAAGCAAGCAGGAGGTAACATTTTGAAAATATTTCAGTTTTTTTTTATCGGCTTATAAGAAAAATTAAAAATTAAAATAAAACATTATTATGCTGTAATTAGAGCGTAACAAAATCATTATTTAATGGAAGCGCTCCGGTGCCATGTGTTAGATGTTTGTTTCTCCAGAATGAGCACAATGACCTCTGCAAGCAAGTCTGCCAGGTCGACAGTGACTGTCCAGGTGAACAAACCTGCTGTAACACACCTTGTGGAGGGACGTTGTGTATAGAGAAAGGTAAGTTAACCACACCTTGTGGAGGGACGTTGTGTATAGAGAAAGGTTAGTTAACCACACCTTGTGGAGGGACGTTGTGTATAGAGAAAGGTAAGTTAACCACACCTTGTGGAGGGTCGTTGTGTATAGAGAAAGGTTAGTTAACCACACCTTGTGGAGGGACGTTGTGTATAGAGAAAGGTAAGTTAACCACACCTTGTGGAGGGACGTTGTGTATAGAGAAAGGTAAGTTAACCACACCTTGTGGAGGGACGTTGTGTATAGAGAAAGGTAAGTTAACCACACCTTGTGGAGGGACGTTGTGTATAGAGAAAGGTAAGTTAACCACACCTTGTGGAGGGACGTTGTGTATAGAGAAAGGTAAGTTAACCACACCTTGTGGAGGGACGTTGTGTATAGAGAAAGGTAAGTTAACCACACCTTGTGGAGGGACGTTGTGTATAGAGAAAGGTAAGTTAACCTCACTTTTTGCTTACATGTGGGGTCAATTGTTTGGTTGTTTACAGGTAGGTTACATAGAATTGGTTGGTTTATTTTGTTACCTGTGGTTTTGTTGCCGGTTAGATTACTTGTACTTTTGTTGTATGTTTTGTTACCTGTAGTTTTTATGTCTGTTAGGTTAAGTGTGGTTTCGTTAACTGTTTTGTTTCCTGTAGTTTTGTTGTGTTAGGGTACCTGTAGTTTTGTTGTGTTAGGGTACCTGTAGTTTTGTTGTGTTAGGGTACCTGTAGTTTTGTTGTGTTCTGTAGTTTTGTTGTGTTAGGGTACCTATAGTTTTGTTGTGTTAGGGTACCTGTAAATTTGTTGTGTTAGGGTACCTGTAGTTTTGTTGTGTTAGGGTACCTGTAGTTTTGTTGTGTTAGGGTACCTGTAAATTTGTTGTGTTAGGGTACCTGTAGTTTTGTTGTGTTAGGGTACCTATAGTTTTGTTGTGTTAGGGTACCTGTAAATTTGTTGTGTTAGGGTACCTGTAGTTTTGTTGTGTTAGGGTACCTGTAGTTTTGTTGTGTTAGGGTACCTGTAGTTTTGTTGTGTTAGGGTACCTGTAGTTTTGTTGTGTTAGGGTACCTGTAGTTTTGTTGTGTTAGGGTACCTGTAGTTTTGTTGTGTTAGGGTACCTGTAGTTTTGTTGTGTTAGAGTACCTGTAAATTTGTTGTGTTAGGGTACCTATAGTTTTGTTGTGTTAGGGTACCTGTAGTTTTGTTGTGTTAGGGTACCTGTAGTTTTGTTGTGTTAGGGTACCTGTAGTTTTGTTGTGTTAGGGTACCTGTAAATTTGTTGTGTTAGGGTACCTGTAGTTTTGTTGTGTTAGGGTACCTGTAGTTTTGTTGCCTATAGGTTTACCTGTGGTTTTTTATTTGTCTGTTTTGTTAACTGTAGCTTTGTTTTCTGGTTTCTTATTATACTTTTGTTGTTTGCTATTAAACTACCTAGTTTTCCGTTACCATATCGGTGTTTTTATACTTTACTGGTATTGCTGCAATTGGTAGAGGAGTTACTTTCTTTATTGTAGTTTGTAGACAGCAACTCATCTAGGAGAGACAACTCCAAAATCAAGCAACTGCTGCCTTGTAGTATGTTCTTATTTATACAAAGGCTTGGGGAGCAAATCGAAAAAGAAAAGCAGGCTGAAATTGGAGTCAACGGTCTTATATTCCCTAAAAAGGAGCTCCTTCCAACACTATAATTAAGAACAAAGAAGAAGAAAGTTATAAATAAAAAGACATAGATAAATATTTCCTACAACCCATATCTGCCCTGATGTCCCTCAGTCTAGAACTATCATACACAGCACTAACATCTTACAGATAACATCAATACCTGCGAGGGTTATTGCCAAAATGGTGGGGTGTGCAGCAACGAAGATAACGATCCCACCTGCACCTGTCCCCTGGGGTACGAGGGATCAAAATGTGAAACCAAACGTGAGAGACCTGGCACCTGCCCTCAGGTAAGTTCACACGTGATGTTTTTCCTGAAGTTATCAATATGGATATGTATCTTGAATCTGTACATTTTATTACGAAAGTTTCAATCACATTATATCAAAGATTTATTAGTACAAATTTTATGTTAAACAAATTATATTACTGTTTGTTCTTAGAAATATAAGTAAGTATTGTAAGTAAATTTCTCTGACGGTCCATGGGACAAGTGAAGTAGAGTTCACCTGTTTCTGTTACCTCGGCATTGGGTAAGTGTGGTCAGCACTATACTCAGCCGCCTTTACTTTCCCTAACGCGAGTCAAGTACTCATCCGAGCCTGATGGACTTAGGGACATTTTTATTGACTTTGAATCCGGATTTCATCTCGCGACTTTTGTATTAGTAGCTGTATGCCTTACTATTTGGCTACGCCATCCCACCTTTAGTAATTCATATCTGTTATATCCTTACAGCCACTGTACATGGACAACAGTATGATACATTGTGATACGGATGATGCTTGCAGCCCCGGTCAGAAGTGCTGCTCCACTGAATGTGGTGGAAGGATTTGTACTGGCACTGGTAAGATACGTAATGCTCCACTAAATATGGTGGAAGGATTTGTACTGAAACTGGTAAGATACGTAATTCTCCACTAAATATGGTGGAAGGATTTGAACCGACACTGGTAAGATACGTAATGCTCCACTAAATATGGTGGAAGGATTTGTACCGACACTGGTAAGATACGTAATGCTCCACTAAATATGGTGGAAGGATTTGTACTGATAAAGTTAAATTACCGTTCATCAACAATTGATGAGGTCGGCGTGGTCGAGTCGGCAAAGCTCATTGTAGGTAAACCGAAAAGTCTCGAGTTCGAACCCTCGCACTGATGAGGCTCGTTAGCTGGGGACAGCAACTCTTCTAGGAGAGACAACTCCAAAATATAAATAAAACAAATCCAAAAAAAAGAAAAGCAGGCTGAAATCAGAGCCAACTGCCTAAACTGCCGCATAAACAGTTGACACGTTTACATAGTTGTGTTAGAGGGGATCACTTCCAGCACTAATAATTAAGAACTAAGAAGAAGAAGAAAGAAGAACTCTTGTTGGATTGAGGAGATGGGTTGTTGTCCCCGACTTTAGTCTAATCTGCCCCGAATAGCAACAGTCATTATGAAGTCATTAAAAGCGTTTCCTGATTTACGCTGCACGTCTAATTTGTAAATTTGGCTTAACTTTCAGCCGAGGACGGTGCCGTCTATTTAGATTCCCTGTGTAGAAATTTGAAATGTGAATCAGGATTACAATGTCGTGTCATTCATTCGTGTTTCGATGGTGGGCCTAAGGCTGTCTGTGCTGATACAACATGTGAGTATAATAAAAAACATATATTATATATATATATATATATATATATATATATATATATATATATATATATATATATATATATATATATATATAATCTGTGTATGTTAATGTGTATGTATATGCATTTTCGTGCACTTATTGTGTATATATATATGTGTGTTTGTGTGTTTTTATATTTATTTGTGGATACAGTTTTGTTTATGTGTGGCAGTGTATGTAAATGTTTAATCGTCATTTTAAAGAGCTTGCAGAATGATTAACAAAAAAACCATTAATATTGTAATTTCTTAATCAAATGTCTTTATCAGGGGAAGATAACTTATGCAGCGCCACCAACTTGACCCAGGCGATATTGCTACAGAGTGAAAGCAATCCACCAGAGTTCAGACCCCTGAACTGTGACTACCCCCCGGACAAGAGATACTGCCCCATCGGGGCCAAGTGTGTAAATAACATCTATGGAAATAACAGGTGTTGCTTTGGGACACAGGAAAAAGAAAAGGACCCGAGCAGAGAATGCCCGAGCAACATTCTGGTACGATATAATATGTTGGTTATGTTTCTTTTTTGAAAAGTGATAGCTTTCGATGCTTGCTATATATTTCATAAGTGGTAATTTTAGATATAGGGCCATAGTTTTAAAATGTGTGCGGTAATGATTTGGTGGCTTTAGATATAAGGCTCAAAGTAGTTTTTCTTTATAAAATGAAGGAAAGTAAAGTTTCCTTTTCAAATCTAATAATCCCAAGGGAAGATGAAGTAGAGCTCGTATGTTACTTGACTCCGGTATATTCCCATCAGTGTTTCTTCCAGATTTTTTCTCGGGGGCACTTGAAATTTTCGGGGGGGGGGGGGCGGTAGACTTTCTTCGGGGGGTGGGCGGACACTGTTAAAAGTATATATTTTCTATATAAATTATATAAATTTCATTTCGTTCGGGGGGCGGTAAAATTTTTTAGAGATGCCTGGAAGAAACTCTGATTCCCATATTCCTTAGCGTGTGTCTGGTATCTATTAGATCCAGAATGACACAGGGACATTCTTTAGAATCTAATCGAGGCTTAAATTACCGACAATGACGTCCCATTTGACTATATTAGAAATATTAAGTTTTTTGTCAGATAAGGTTATATGCTACAGGTGAAGGGTCCTGACTTAAATCAAAACAACAATCTTATTTAACATTGAATATATGTTATTATTTGTTGGCTTGTATATTTGATATAAATATATAATTATGATATTCTGGATGCTTGTTCCATCATTAAAAAGGAACACACCTTTGACTGCGACCAACCACACACAAACTGTAGCAGCGATGTGCCGTGTCCAGATGAGGAAATGTGTTGTCTGACCAACTGTGGGCAGATCTGCACCAACCCCACGATGGACCCTAATGGTTGCCCCGCGCCTTGTCCAGAAGGTGCTGTTAAAATATTATAAGATTTTTTAAAATTATTTTTAAAACAAAATATCATTTTTGTGATAACAAACAAAAAACAATATTATGCCATATATTATGTTGTATGTCATAATATAGGCCTACTTTAAAAAAAAGTTAAAATATAGATAACTAATTGTTAAAGTACTGTGAAATTATCTGGGAGTGATCTCCCCTAAACTTTCTCGAATATTCTTATATAACACTACATTACGGGGGATGTGAACTCGGGATAAAGACATGATTTTTAATCAATTTTTAATTACTTGAACTTTTTTTAAAAATAGAATAGAATCTCGTAGAAAAAAAGAATTGCGCACCATTTAAACGCCAAACACGATTACCATAGTTCCGGGAAAATACTCCCGGTTTATTTTTTTCACGATTATAATACTTCTTGTATAATTCGTATACGAGAAAGTTAAAAAAAAACGTACATAAAATTCACGCATTACATTTTGTACAACAACTTTCCAGTCTGCTTCAATGACCCAGGTCATATGAAATTTATTTGTTTCTGCATGTCCTACTATAAATATTTAAATGTCATGTAAACAATTAAAACATTGCATGCTATTAACAAAGCTTTCAGTATCCTCACGCTTAAAACTTATCCGCCGTGACGTCACCCCACTCGACACTAACCTTACACTCACGACATCAACATTGCAGGCAGTACCTGTGTGAAGGCAGCTTCCAGCTGTCCAGAAAATGTCACCTGTATACAGGTGCCCACAGCCTCCTGTGTCCCCAACACCTGCTTAAGCTGTAGCGATGGTGAGATCTGTGTTAATAAGACGGCGGACTGCCTAGAGAACCAGTGTGAATTCGAGTGCAGAAAGGTAGATAACACCATGAGTCACCATATTTGATCGATGATTAGTGTAAGCTTTTATAAACGTCTGACTCAAGTAATTTTTGATTTATGAAATCTGTAATTGTGAACAATTGCCATTTTTAGATTCGTTTTTTTTCTTGGGAGACTTTGTAGCATCTTAAGAATAAATGGATTTATTTTATTATTTAAAATGTAGAGTGTTGACAATGCTATGTCGAGTTAACAGAAACACAAGAACCTCAACTTTACTTGACCAATGGACCGTCATGTTAAAAAAAGGGGACTTAACTTTTTATTTCTACATATAATGACCTATCATTAGTTAACTCAGCAATTAATGATAGTCAATAGCCGAGAGACATCAAAAATGCTATAAATTAAAAGTTTCTGGATTGTAATGTTCAAATCTTGACTAAAATGTCAGAGTACTAAGATGTTTTGTAAATTTAAACAAAAGTATTAAACTAATCAGTTTTAAGAAGGTGTTTGCTACATAAAGAAACGCTCTCTCGAAACGATACTCTCTTGATCTAACAGTGATCATTACTTTTTTTCCAAATTTCTTTCTGAAGCCCCATGTAATATTCCTCAATTCTTTGATGTACTTGTCTTATTTTTTAAAATTATAACCATAATTACCATAATTATATATTAATCCACTGTATGTTTTTTCATACTTTCTTTCTGAAGCAACATGCAATATTCCTAAATTCTTCGATGTGTATGTCTTATTTTTTAAAAATTATAACCATATATATATATATATATATATATATATATTGATACATTGTCCTTTTTTTCATTCTTTCTTTCTGAAGCACCATGCAATATTCCTAAATTATAACCATAACTACATATAAATATCTGTCCGTTTTTTCATTCTTTCTGAAGCGCTATTCAATATTCCTAAATTCTTTGATGTGTATGTCTTGTTTTTTTTTAAATCGTATTTAATGTTTATACATTGTCCGTTCTTTACATACTCGCCAGCTGGATAAATGCGGAAACTGCTCTAATGACATGGTGTGTAAAGACACGGGCTTAAAGTGCTACCCAGAGCCTTGTGAATCCTACACGTGTGTCAAACCCGACGAGTGTGGGGGGTGCCCCAGGGACGAGGAGTGTGTGATGATGTCCCCCACCAGAGGGGACGTTGGAGACTGTGTCGTCAGGGAGGGCAAGATTACAGAGTGCAACAGCACACTGTATGACGCAGCATCCATGCTGAATGACACTGAGTTTGTGTGTGTCCCAACCAACAGAAGTCTTCCTCAAGTGGTAAGTTAGCTGTAAAAGGTAAACCTAAATCAACAATACTCTATGAAAAAAACAACGTTATTACTTATTTTATTTTTGATGATTAATAATTTCAAGTTCCAGAGTCCACACAGCTCTGATGGGTATCTGATTCACGTTAGAGAAAGTAAATTTGGCTGGGAATAGTGGTGACCCTCAAATTACGAGCAAATTGAAAAATTTCGACTCTATTTAATCTCTCATTTTTAATTCTTAGGTCTTCACTTTCAGCCTGATGCTCTGACTTCAATTCGGTTTCGTGTGGCATTCCGTCTTTCTAGAACTATAAAATGTACATACGTCTAAACTCTATGTCAGCATTGCTATCATCATAGGCTATATTCTTATACATATTTACAGCTCTCGAACTATTTTGTTGTTAAATGTACACCTTTCGCAAGTTTAACCTTATATTTAAACAGTTTATATTTTTTATATCTCTAGCCTGAAGTCTATTGTCACAATTGTCCGGAAAACGAAATGTGCGTCGACACCTTAATTGAATGCGTCACAACGCCGTGCCCAAAGTACAAATGCGTGCCCCTTCCACCGGTGTCATGTGATATTCACTGCCCCGATGGTTATTTCTGTACGCTGCGCACCAAAGAATGCACAGAGGAAGACATCGTGCCATGCATGAAAACCAGAACTGCAGTGTGTGTGCCACGAACTGGGGAGTTGCGGTACTGCGCCAAGACGACTGTTATTACTGATGATTCTGCGGTGTGCAAAAGTGAGAAAAGAACCCATAGGCTGTGCTCTATGGATGAAAACTGCCGCGAAGGCCGAAGGTGTTGCCCGTCTAAGTGCAACAGGAAGATATGCCAAGACATGATATAACTCAACATAATTGGCTTGTCACTTTGTTAGATGTATACAACATTGACGAAAAGAGGTTGTTGAAAATAAAATTTAAAAAATGTAGAGGTATGACATAATTTAACTTTTGTCAGTGTTATTAACTATTTACTACAAGTCGTTTTTGTTTTGTGTCGATTTATATTTGTAATATTTATTGAAGAAGAAAGTACAAAAAGTCTCAAATTTCGGGTATAAACATGCTTCTTGAAAAAAAAACCACCAAACAAGATGCTTCTTAAGAAAACATACAATGGCGTCTCCATTGATATCAAGTTTTTGAAATGTAGTTTTTAATATTTTCTGAAGTTATGATAAACTTTCATTAAAATGGAAACGACCATTTAACCATTATAGATCCGGTTCTTTTCTAGTTTTACTGCTCAGGCTTGATCTACTAGTATTTATTTCTATTTCATTACCTGTATCTGTTTAGTTTAGGCTTATCAGTATGGCGTACACATTTTAGTGAATACATTAATTTTCGTCAGTTTGTCAAGATAAGTTGTATTATGTTCTTAAAACTTTACAATGCTCTTGTTCATATTTCGGTAAAAAGCTGTTAATAATTGTGAATTTCGTCCGAATAAGACACACCAAATGTTATCTCCCGGCAACCAAAAAAATAAAATTAAAAAGATGATATGATACATGTACTTTTAGATTTAAACCCTAACCCAACCCTAACCCAGACCTTGACCCTAAACTTGACTAAGAGGAGCTGGTAAAAAGTGTGTGTGTGTGGGGGGGGGGGATTAGCTTTTCGATCGTAAACTTTTGGCATAATTGGCGGGACTTTTCAGGGCAATACCCGAAATGTTTACGGATTGCATACTCAAACAGTATAACAGCAAAGAGCATAATTTGATCTTGTTTTATCGTAGATAATGCCTCTGTTAACTAACAAATTAATATAATTATATAAACATGGGTGCATAAATTGTTCAGCTTAAGCTTCCGTTGCATTGAACAGTTTTTCAAGTAGTTCAGGAAAATAAAAATTGCAATACCCCTCAATCGTTTTGGACATGGAAAGCTTCGCAGGATGGAAGAAATATTTATGCAGGTAGTAAGTACTAAAGACTCGATCTCTTTCATCGCCGTAATAGCTCTTTCCTCCGAATAAATTCAGGCTCTGTTTGGTTTCCAGCCCACGTAAAACGCACGTTACGGCTAGCTCAAGGAAGACATGGTTGTTGTAAAACATGGACAAGTACCATACCGCCTCCGCTCTCATCTTTTGTGGGATGTAATACAAATCACTAATGTCTCCGACAACTAAGTCTTTGGAATTTGTGTGTGTTAGTAAAGTTTTTTGAAACTCCTCAAGCGATCGCACACCATCCGGAATTCGCGGAACAATAGAAATATCCGACAGTGTTTTTAGATACGCGGTTCTTCCGATTTTCTCGCCCCATCGGAAATATGTATTACCTGGTTCGGAAATGTTAAGAAATATGGTGCGGCTTTCGTAGGTGACGCCGGCGCTGGATTTGTTAAGTTCCAGCATAGCCCAAGGCTTGAACAGAAGATCGTCGGAAGTGAAGAGGTAACCACTGACACTGTATCCCATCTGCATAGCCCTGATGGCGCAGATGTAACCATCGAATCCATCGACGACTTCGGCTTCGATGAAAGAGAACGTTTGATTCATGTCTTTCGTTTCGTCTTGAAATTTGGTTATGTTTTCACCGCAGTAGAGAATGTTGGTGAACACCGGGCTATGAATGGCGTCGAGGTACTTCACGTTACCGTAATACGGGTTATTGAACACAATGATAAGCAGAATATCTGAGAAAAAATTGGCATTTTTCAGTCTACCTTCGTACACCCGAGGAGGTTGGTTATTTAATAAACCACCACACATGGAGGTAATCTTTTTCATCTTGTGACAAAAACCGTTATTGCGTGTTGGTGTCGCATAAACAGATGGAGACGGTTGCTCTACTGAGGAGTATACAACATCCGATACGTTATCTCCCTTCCCTATAACAGGGAGGTAATCAACGTTTTCGTTTAATATCTGTGAATACTGCAATGTCTCTGAAAAATTCAAATTGAATCCAACACGCTCCGGTTCAATGTAGCCAACTGATTTTAAGTCATCCAGCCAGAGTTTCGTCATAAGAACATCGTCTGTTTTCCAAAAATTGTGGTCGGCCATATCTGAGCTGAGTTTTAAGACACATTGAAAAAACGACAAATCCTTCCCACAATCCCAACTTCTCAAAAACCGTAACAGGTTTTCTGTTTGAAAGTACATATCTTTTTCTTCCAGCGCGTCTTTCAAGTACGAATGTGCGTTCCTCTTTTGGAAAGCGTTAGCAGGAAAAAATCCAAGACTCCCTCCCACTTCCCATAAAAGTCTTTGCGCCCAGTACCCTCTCCAGATATCACACACTCGAAAGGTTGTCGTTTTGGGGATAAACAGTGCCCAGAACGCCTCGCTGTGGAACAGGGTGTTCTGCGAGTTGAAGGGACTGAAGACGCCTTTGGGTAAAATGGCTGGCGGGGAGGCGGGGTCAAAGATCACGTTTAGCGGTGCCGTGGTGGATTTTCTCGTGAGTCTAAATATGGCATCCATGTCGGGGTCGCCGTTGACGATTCCTTGTTGGATGGCTGGTGTCTTCCACTGACTGCCTAACCTGACGTGTAATATACACAAATAATTGAATGAAACAATAGCATAACACAAACAAGTAATGTAACTCATGTTTTTTTTTTCATCAATAAATAACAAGATTTCTATAATCGCTTTTCTTTAACAAATCGTATATCTGAGGAATGGCTGACGATTATGTTTCACGTTTAGAAGATGGGGATGGGGGGATGCTGAGTTATTTTATTTTATGGAGGGTTAATACACAAAAACGTATGCTCGGCACTACTTATTGATGACTTGGAAGAGTTAAATTTTGTTAAACACTAAAAAGACGCCTCCTCTTGATATTTCAAATGATATTCCGTATTATAAAAATAGTTGAAAGCAACAAATGCCACAACGTATTTAGCAGCGTAAAAGGACAAGAGAGCGTGTTAGCAGGCTAGGGTGTTCACAAATAGACCTGCTCCTGACATCCAACACCAGATACTGATGCACCAGAAGACGAATGGTGTTTACTTCAGACTTTATCCTCATTTGGGGGGGGGGGGGCCTTGAAACTTTCTGGGAGGGGGGTGCGGACTAAAAATTCGGGTAGAGGGGCGGGGGTTGAACAGTGTTAAAAATATATATTTGTATATATAAAGTCAATTTCGAGTAAAAACCTGGAGTAAACAATCGAATATACCAGCTAGCAACATGAGTATAATAAAGGATTAGTTTATCGTCTTACCGCTGTTGTCCTGACTAATGCGCATTGCTTAGGATGGTTAAACATGTATAAAATACAAAGAAACAGAGAGTTAGGGAGTAAGAGAGAGAGAGCTGAGAGAGAGCGAGGGAGAGAGAGAGCAAGAGAGAGAGGGAAGAGAGAGGAGAGAGAAAGAAAGAAATTAAGAGAGAGAGCGAGGGGAGAGAGAAAGAGCGAGGGAAGAGAGTGGAGAAAGAGAGGGGGGAGAGAGAGAGTGAAAGGAGAGAGATATATATATAGGATAGAGAGAGAGAAAAAAAAAGACAAGAAAGAGAGCGAATGGAGAGAGAGAGAGAAAAACAATAGTAAGAGAGAGAGAGGAGGGCGAGAGAGAGAGAGAGTGGCGAAAGAGAGAAACGTGAACAGAAAACAATGAAATCTCACTTGTAAAGAGGCCGCTGTGGTACGCCTATGTGAGACAGTGGAAACCCTCTAGGCCACAGTGTTGACTGACCGAAGTGGACGTAAGGGTTAAACACGCCATCACCAGTAAACACCAAGCCCGACATCGTGGACTTGTAAACAAAACCCTCCAAGTTGTCCAATGGCCTGATGGTCAGATAGTTCCCATGTTAGATATGAGTTTACTGACAAATGGCCTAACGTTTATAAAGTAAGTCATATTAGTATAAAGTATAGAAGCCTCTTTAGACCAAGCGATCGAATGAGCAGATGTAGTTGATATTTTTCTTAACCTGGGTATATAAAGGGAAGCTGTCGTCCCTAATATGAGTTAGGTACCCATCAGGGTATCCATAATAGACGTTATGCTGACTTGTACCTGGATTCGAACTCGAGACTTTCGGGTAAGCAGCCTAGCGATCGACTGTCACGCCATCCCACTCAAGGTCATATAGCTTCAGTTTTAGTTCGTTTACTAATGAATAGCTTACAGGGTTAAAAGTCAGTGTTTGTATTAGACTAGTTTACTGATAAATGCCTTAACGCGTTTACAAGGTAGATTGAGATATTCATTGTTAGACATATGTTGAATAATGAATGCCTGAATGTGCTTATAATGTAGACCAAACGACCCTACCTGTTATCGTCGTCTGTTTCGTATATGAACTCGGCCCCGTGTAGGATGGCGTACAGGTAGCCTATGTTTTTTCTTGTGTAGCTACCGTAGGGGGTAGCCTTAGTGATGGCGAACCCCAGCTCTTCCTGCGCTTCTATGCTTAGGTAGTCACAGCCGGGTAAACTAAACCAAAGAAGTCATTTCGTTTAGTCACAAACGGGTAAACTAAATCAAAGAAAAGTAATTTCATTTAGACACAGTCAGGTAAATAAAATCAAAGACAAGTCATTTCATTTAGACACAGTCAGGTAAATAAAATCAAAGACAAGTCATTTCATTTAGACACAGTCAGGTAAATAAAATCAAAGACAAGTCATTTCATTTAGACACAGTCAGGTAAACTAAATCAAAGAAAAGTAATTTCATTTAGACACAGTCAGGTAAACTAAATCAAAGACAAGTCATTTCATTTAGACACAGTCAGGTAAATAAAATCAAAGACAAGTCATTTCATTTAGACACAGTCAGGTAAATAAAATCAAAGACAAGTCATTTCATGTAGACACAGTCAGGTAAATAAAATCAAAGACAAGTCATTTCATTTAGACACAGTCAGGTAAATAAAATCAAAGACAAGTCATTTCATTTAGGCACAGTCAGGTAAATAAAATCAAAGACAAGTCATTTCATTTAGACACAGTCAGGTAAATAAAA